AGTTATCACATAGCAAAATACTACCAGTTGACATTTTTTTTACTACTATTGGTGCAGGACAATGTGATAACTTCTGTTGTCATTAACTCTGCCCTAAACCTCAGTTCTGAGACTGCTGGCCTTGTGCTGCGGAAACTACTGTGACGTATGGCTTCGGGGCTCTGTCTCTGGGAGCTGCCGCCTGTCACTGTTCAACTAGCGGAGCTGTCAGGGAGCTAGAAAGCGCTAACAACTCTGACTCCACCGGCACTCCCTACGTAAGCGAGCTGACACTTTTGATTAAAGTTGTGATGTATTACACAACTCCCTAAAGCCCTTCTGAGTGAACTGAGATGGACGTAGAAGTTTGGTTTTCATCAGAGCCAAGATGGTTTTTCCAATTCCATTCGGAAGCCTGACCAAACATTAGCCAAATGTCAAAATGTGGTAGCTACAGACTGGGCAAATAGTATGTCTAAAGCACTTTTATTATTAAAATATTAATATTTTTAACCACATTTTCTTTTAAAACTATACAGAATTATGAGATAATTGCAATCTCGCTTAGTGAACGAATCATTCTTCAATTGGATCTTTTCATTGAATCTGTTGATCCAGTTAACAAGGCTTGCCTGAATGATTCAGTCTTCAGAAATTCTCCTTTTCCGTTCCATGGAAGAAAGTCATTTGGAACTACATGAGGGTGAGTAAATGATGACAGAATTATATGTATATATATATTTTTTTTTTTTGGTGAACTATACCTTTAAAGAAACCTCTCACCACTTTTTTTCTCTCTCATGCAGACACACACCAGCCAATCTTTATCTGTCTCGTCCACTGTCACTATTTAAAATGTGTGTGTGTGTGTGTGATAGGATGACTCCAGAGATAACCTTAGGTGGTCTGGATGATCTAGAGAACACAGGTGTAGTCCGTACCCATTCATCATCGAACCCTGAATGAGAGTAACTGTGCGTTTCTCTTCTTAATCCAGATAATAAGGCACCTCTGTGCATGGCTGTCAGTCATATTAAACCTCTCTCTGTGCCCTAACAAGCAAATTGCAAATTGTCGAAACTGCAACATGACGAAATATCAGGTAATGAAAAAGTAATCAAAAACTGCTTGGTGGGGCAGAATTTTGGACCAGTGAGATTTCACAATAGGTGGGGGCCACAAGTAGATGGGACAAAAACTGTGATTTAAATGGAATTTAGATGGCTTTTATCACTTGTTTCAATTTATTTGTGCGTCACTTTTCTACAATATAGAAATATTTTTTTGGAAAAAAAACCCCAAACTTTTTCAGTCTTTATACTTCTGCAAATGATTGCATGAAACTTTCATGTTTAAAAGGTTATTTCTTTTTTCCCCCACTGTAAAAAGTGATCAGTTGACTAAACTTAAAAAAATGGGGAAACCCGTTGCCTTCAAATTATTAAACCATGCGTAATTGAAAAAATTAAGTTATGTGAATACATAACTTAATTTTTTCAATTACGCATCAAGTTTATTTACTTAATAATTGATAAAGTATGTTTAATTCATTAAATTAATCAAATTAACAAATGAATTCAAACAAAATTCATTAATTAAAATTCATTCCAAAAAATGATCCCCTAATAGGAACCCCTTTATAGGTTCTATATAAGAAGCACCTGACAGAAGCCTTTAAGTTATAGAATCTTTTCTTCAAAGATTGTATACGAGATTGCTGTGGCACAATGGGGACTATTGCTATTGGATTTGCTACTGATATTGAACCAATACATTTGAAAAGTAATACTCTTCTGACTGGGCTATCTGTTTCACCTTCCTTTTCCTAAGTGGCCCCCATTATCTTTTCACACTGAATTGCAGCTGGTGGATTTTCCTGCGGTATCATTAAAGCAGTGACACCGGCTGACATGCAGGGGTGGGTGTGTGGGGGGGGGTTTGGTATGAAGGGTGTATAATGACATTCCTCTCTCGCAGAGATGAGTCAAGTCCCATTGAAGCCAGCAGGAGACCGGAGCAGGTCAGAATGCTTACTGGCCTCCCGATGCTGTCTCCTTCATGCCTATTCTCTAAAAAAAAAGAGTTTTCCGAATTTTAATTAATTCAGAATTAGTGTTTTATGTCAAGTGTTTGTGTATGTTTCCGACTGAAAGGGCTCTTTCTTTTTGAGAACTAAAGCCTATATGTCCTTAAATCCGCATATAGGCTTTGTTGCAATAACAAAAAGAGCAGCTTGAATCCATATTATCTGGAGTTTTGCTCAGCTATTTTCTATTTTTTTTATAGTAAAAAGGTGGATTGTGCACAGAATGCCATGTTAAATGATACTGATTTCTCAGGAAATATTGATTTATAATTTGATTTCATAATTAATGTTATTAATTTGAAGAAATGTTTAAATGACTAACATCTCTAATATTATGGTTTCGCACAGTTCACTTCCGCTGTTTTGACAGGTACTTCAGATAATAAGAGCTACTGAAAAGTGTTTCCAGGTCAAACCATGACTTGATCATCTGAGGTCAGGCTTCTTCTGCAACCAAGCTCAAGTTTTGATTGAGAACAGATAAACGGCGGTGCAAACAGCCAGCTGGATCTGAACGGATGGTGGCTTTTTGCGGTGCTGTTGTGGGAAGAAGCCACAAAACCTTGTTCCTTTCTGTCTGGTATTTGGAGTGACTGCTGATTGTGTCTCAGCTTGCTCATCATCTGTAATGCATGTGAAATTGAACAAAGCTAGACAGGCTGATCGCTTTCAATAGCTCTCCCTGCTTAAGACTGAGCTTAATCAGTTCATCTTGAGAGGATAAAGTCAGATATTAGCGGCCTGGTAAGCTGCTGAAACAGATTAGGCTAGAAATTGGCCTGATTATTGCAACACTGTTCATCATAGATTTAAAGTCCATTCAAATGTGAAGGGATTAAAAGGAGAGGATCTACCAGGATGGAATAAATTCTCACTATAAGACACACATACGTTCCATTGACTCCTTTAAAACAAACGAAAACACACTATCATATTATTTATTGATTATTATAGCCTTTAAAATATTAATCTTTTTCATTTAAATCAGGTTTATTTACATTGTTATAATTTTTTTATTGATTATCATATGAATTATTATTTTTGAATGAAACTAAAAAAAACTAAAACTACACAAATGCATGGCTGCATCATATAAAATCACATGAGACCAAAACACAGATTTTGAATGTAGACATGAATAGACACTTTATTTGATCATTAAACATTGGTTAAATGGGCATATTAAATCTCTCGTTTTGAAAGTATGCGTAGATTTTAGTTTATTTAATCTCTTGGTATTGACATTTCACCTGCTACATATTTTCTGTTAATCCATTTCTGTGCTTTTTTAGGACCACAGGTTCGCTGATGCCATTCAGACTCCTTCAGGTAGAAGACAAGAAAAGATGACACATCTACCTATTTACCTGCAGCCATGCATCACTTTCTTTCTCACGCTCTCACTTTCTCTCCCCTCCACTTTAATTTTACCTAAATCAAGGAGGTTATGCTTTGTCAGTGGGTGAATATTACACCGTCGGTTAGAAGAAACAGCTGCGGGTCACTGACTCGAGACTCCTTTGCTCTTTGTCAGTTTCGTCTGGTGGCACTAAATACCAGTATATGAGTAAAGCCACGCAAATAATAATGCTTCAGCCTCGTGGCCTTTGTGTGTGTAAGCATATGAGTGCGACTGCATGTTTGGCAACCCTCGCTCCATAAACGAAACCAGAAGATGCTGGTGGTTTGGAACGAGAGTGCAGCGGGGACCACATGCTAACTGGGACTACTAAAGCACATTAGTTCTGACAAGTATTGTATCATAAGCCAGGGGGGCTTTTGTCATACGCCTACACAAATATTTTTGCAAAAAGACTCATGTTACAAGAGAACCCTGTGAGGTCAGTGGCATTTTGAGGATGGGGTAATTAGTGGAACTATGACATATCAGCACCATTCGGAGGTAAATATGATCCCTGCAGAATGTAGAGAAATCTACTAAACATAAGTACTTTAACAGCACTATGTCAAGTCGGAATAATATCATTTGAACACATGGAAATACATATATTATGAACATATTTAAGTTAAAATGTCATATATTAGAATATATTCAATGATATATGATTTTATATATCTTTTATAATATTCTGTAGGATTAAAGTAGTTAATAATTGAATTTGTTTTTAAATGACTCAACTCAACATATCAAGCAAAATGAATGAAGAATTTTGGTTATAATAGGTAAATGAAAGGATTTCACTTTAATCTCAATTTTGAATGCCACAATGATATAAAAGGTTTTGATTTCAAATGAGTAACCGTAAATCTTTTATTTCAGTACGCTTCATTTCGCTACACTGGAAAATAAGATTTTATATGGAAAGTCGGTTATTTGGAGAATTTCTTTGAACAGGTTAAAAAACAATCGTCGTATTTTAAATCACAAATATGATTATAATACACAGCACAATGATTTTAGAGAAAAATAAATGTTCAAAGCCGCTTCAGGTTTATAGTGTAATGATACTTAGGGTTAAACCCCAATGAATTTATTGAGACCCAAGCCAAGGGACATCCACACTAATGCCCCAATTAACACTCCTAACACGGCTGGAGTGCCGAGGCTATTAGCGAAAGACAACAATATCCCAATCCAGAAGCCTGCTGGCTGACACCTTAACCTAACCTTATCTCTGACATACACGCTGCATCTCTTTCACAACACTGCGAGCTTCAAAAACAGCCTATTTTCAACATTCAACATAAATGGAGCCGAGCGAAACACGGCAGTGAGGAAAAAGACAGGCTAGCATTTCCGTCCCTCCAGTGGCTGAGGTTAAGATTCTTTGGACTGAGCCGAGAAGCTTTTTTCCACGCAGTCAACTGAAAGTGTTCTGTATTTACTGCCTTCTGAAAAATGATCACTGACCAGCATTCTCCCTCAGTGCTACTGGAGAAAGTGATGCAGAAAGTGGGGATCGTTGCTACTCACCACCAGATGGGATAGCCTCCAAGCACCCGAGAGCTGGACAACCACATGCACATGAGATATCCAACCAGGTACAAATCCATGAGGTATGTCTTGTGTGGATGGAAATTGTCTATTGATCAGTACATAGAATTCCTAGAGAGGGGTGGAAAATGAAGTCCTAGCAGGCAAGTCTTAAGGAAAAGATGGATGCTTGAGAGATTAATTAGAAATTTTGGGGTTTTAAAAAAAAATCTCCAGGGTTTGCTGCTTCTTTGAGTTGGGTGAGGAAAGTGTGTGTCTCCCAGTAGTAGTTAGGAGAGTAAGTGTCTCTTTCACACACTCGTACACACGCTCCTACTCGTCCTCTGATTCCCTCCCTCTCACTGAGGTTCTTCCCTAAGGTACATATCTTTTTCTCTCCCCACTTTTTTCCCCCTTAGGATCATCAGGGCCAATATTAGAGAGAGAGAGAGAGAGGGGGAAAAAAACGACAAGAGAGGTTTGGAGATGTCAGCTGGCAAGCCAATCACAGAGCATGGCCTTAGGTTATGCAAAAAAAAAAAAATTATTATTCCTGCCCATCTGTCAATCATGCACCACCCCCTGGTAATGTAGCAAAGAAAGAAAGAAACAGAGCGAGAAAGAGAGAGGGAGAGAAAGGAGACTGGGAGGGAATAAGAATGAAAGGGTGTCAGGACTGAGTTTCGCAGAGGTAGATTTGTCTTATTAAGATCTATATTGTCTGTATTAACATCAAGGAAACCTAGCTGTGCCAGACTCGGGCCTGCCGCTCGCCCGGTGACGGCTTCAGGGAACATCGTCTCTGTATTTAAGCACGCCGTGCCCCGAACTAATTGTTCCGAATGTGTGTGTGAGCACATACATTCACACACGTAGAGAAGAATTTTGTCTTGGAGAATTTTGATGGCCGCGTCCTCCCCTTGTGATGATGGGACACAAAAGGAACACAATAAAAAGCCGTAAAAGGTGGTGTGGCAGGGCCAGGCATGCAGTGCTGTGTGCCCCAGTGGCCCAAAGGCAGCACATTTTACATAAACACTATTGTCATTCGGAATGGGCTGAGGGCAGACGACGCTGAGAAAGAGCCACAGCACTAAAAGATGACAATGCATTCTAATATAGTCTCTGTCTCAGATTGACCTAAAATGCCAGGACAGAGGTGAACTGACAATGGTTTCAGGTATAAATACTGGAGACCTGGGGGGAAAAAAATCATATAAATGAGTTTTGTGTCAGTAAGCATTTGCAGGTTTCCATTTAAAACAGCCTAGAAATGCATTAGGTATTTTTCTTCTTTCATCTTTTTTTTTTTTTGTCAGACCTAAAAAATAACAACAGTTTGAATAGAGTGACACAATTTGAATTCCAGAATTTGAATGTAAGGAAGAATAATTAAACTGAAATTGAAATAAACTAGAAAATAAAATAAAACTGGAAAAGAATAGCAAAGGCAAACTGATTGTTGGCTTAAAAATTGATTCCTTGGAAGTTTTGAAAAAAGTTAAAAAAGCTTTGAAGTTTGAAGGTTTATAGGCCTTACAGTGCTAGACAGACAGACAGACAGACAGATAGACAGATAGATAGATAGATAGATAGATAGATAGATAGATAGATAGATAGATAGATTTTGATTAGACAGATAGATAGATAGATAGATAGATAGATTTTGATTAGACAGATAGATAGATAGATAGATAGATAGATAGATAGATAGATAGATAGATAGATAGATAGATAGATAGATAGATTTTGATTCATTCATTGATTCATTGATTAACTTTTGGTGGAAGAAGAGTCTGATTTACAATTCAGCAAATTCCTCATCCTTCCATTCCAAATCGAATTCCAGTTCAATTTCCTGTAGGTTCTGGCCAATTCACTTCAAATTCCAATTCAAAATAAAAAAGTTTTTCACATAAGTGCCCTTTTCCGGGAATGTCTAACTTGTGTTATTGCCCAGTATTCTCTTGCTTGGATGTTGTCAGATAAAACTCTCTCCTCCAATCCGGTGATCAAGGACTGAAGCCTGTCTCTCTGTTTATCTGCCAGTGCATCTATCTGTCTCACTCACAGCAGGGACATGGACTGTGCGCATCCACCGCAGGAGCCGAAGAGAGACACTGACAGCTCTGACCGCGGTCTGGAGGTCATATTTCCATTGCCCCTGTTCTTTGCCTTTATTCTCCCACATCAAAACGGTCAGAGCTGCACTGCAACTACGTTTTGAGGCATGACTGGTTATTCTGATACCTTAATTGTTCATCACAAACTATTTCAGTGTTTCTAACATGATGCATCCTTGATCTGATCAGATATGAACCTGTTGGTTAGATTGCAGGTTCCATAGGCGTTTAGCATGTTCTGCGTTCCTGACATCGGGAATAAAGATCTGCTTTCCATCAGCTGCATTGTGCCTAGATCAGCGGTTTGATTCTGCATTCTTGAAGAGTGACAGACGTGGACCTGCTTGCCAGGATCGTAATTTACGAGCGGAGGCAAGGAACGGTCTGCGGTCGGCATCTCAACAACACTGAAACCACGTTTCCCAGGTCAAGGCCGTAAGGCCACGACACAACGGACTGGCTGGAAATGAACTTACGATTAGAATCTCAAGGACTCAAACCCCAGAGTGCACCGCAATGGTGCGAAACCAGGACAAAAGCCAGAGATGCTTGACATAGCTTCAGCACAAACAAGGCCGTTCCCTCCAAGCATGGCCATTGTGTTTCAGAGGAAGTCTTGATTCTCGTATCAATCGCACTTAATGAATTTACTGAAGTGGGCCCTAGAGCATGGAAATGAAATGCACTAGCAGATCAATGGGAATAAAGAGACTCGCCCGGAGCTTTGACCTCTGGGTCAGGAGTCTCTCATCCTCCCTCATTAAGTCATGTTTGTGGACACTCCTGCTTTTTATTAGGGCCAGGATAATACATCACCCTACACACCCACAAAGTAGCCCTTATAATCTGGGAAAGACACCCTTTTGGCTTCCTGTGAGTGGACAGAAGATCCAAGCTATTGCAAATGACATAAGCCAGTGAGTTAAAACAGGAGCAACGTGTACGTTACACCATTAAGGTGCGGTCACATTCACTGCGAATTTTCGCAGGCGGAATCCAGACATTCCAGTAGGAATCTATGCAATTTGGGAATTTCACTTAAGGGCGAAATATTTCCCTGCACAAATTTTGCAACTGGTTCAAGTTGGTCACATGGAATCGCTACTTTGATCAGTAGTGACTTCGCTGTGAGTTCTGCTTCATACATCACTACAGTAGACAACAGATCTTTTTTGCCCACGAAATATCTTCGAAAATTCGCTAATGTGATCGCACCTTTAACATTAGCATTAATCCGTATGTGTTTGCTTGCTGCATTCGCAGAGAATGCAGAGACATACACAGAGGATCCCTGTGGTGCAGGTTTCTAAGGCGACCCGAAAACGGCCGTAACCAGGTCCGGCTCTTTCTCAGGCTTTCCTCAAAGAGGGACATGTGCAGACCCCCACTATCCCTCGCGCACACACACACACACTCAATCCGGACAGTGTGGCCGGACACAGGCAAGCAATAAAACCTGGATTAGCGGAGTGTTCACACATAACACTTGAGCGAGAAAGTTTCTTAACACACCCAAGCCCACCCTCTCCTCACACACGTCTCTCCTCTCTTTCATTCCCTCCATCTCTCCTTCTTTTGTGTCTGCGTCTCTCCTCCCTCCTCTTCCTTTGCCCCTTTCTCTTCAGAATTTCATTGTTTGTTATTACCATGTTAGAGATAAAGGAGGTCTGAGGAATTAGCTTGTTCTTACAGTTGCAGAGAAAATCCGCTTAAGCCCGCAACCCCCTAAATTTGCGGTACCCAGAAGCCCCTGCTCTCGGGATTTAACTAGAATGCGTATCTTTGTGGCAGGGGGAAAAAATCATTTTGTAAGGTGCCAACAGGGCTGAGATGGAGCAGTCCGACCCGTCTCCGGGCCCCCGTCCCTGCATCATGTCCTGGAAATGGGTGCATTTGTATAATATCACTGCTTTTGTCCCTACTTTGTAAGCTGGGGACAAAGCCCAGACACTCCTCCACCCCTCCCCGCTCATCCCCCCCACAAACAAACCTTTTTCATTAGAGCAGCAAACACTTTCTCCTTCAATAGCCCTGATACTACACATCATCCCCAGCATCTCCGCAGGACCCGGGCGCTTTAAAGCGCCTCTCTTCTCTCAGGACACAGAGCTTGCTTAATTAAACCGCACTTAAGCCGGACAAAAGGCTTCGTGCAGGTCTGGGCGAGCCCGCAGAGAGTATTCATGGCCGTCGTAAAGCGAAAGCCGCGCGAGAGAGAGCTATATGCCAGATACTTTGTTCACACAAGATGAAGAGTCAACAGCCACCCCCACGCCATTTCTCTCCTAATAACCACCTTTAGAAAGGCTCCGTCCCTGCACAATGCTTCTCCGCTCCCCTCCTCTCGCTCTCAATCACCCTCCAGGACAATGCCTAAAGCTCCGCAGCCCCCCAGGAGCCTCGGCCCCACAACAGACACCTCTTTTATTGAAATTCTTTGGTGTTCTAATCCTCAGCTTCCTCTATAGGACAATAATGGAGTGTCAGTACTTTAGCTTTTTCCAGTGTGGCTATCATTAGACCGGCTTGGGTCACAAGCCCTCTCTTCCTCCTATCTCAGGTTTGAAATTATTTTTGACTTGGAGTTACTGAAGCTCGAAAATGAGTACATTACCATGGCATATTGCATATTTCGGGGTACTGTTATCCTTGCAAAGAACGTTGTCTGGCACGCATTCTAAAGCAAATATCAAATCAGACATGTGAAGCATAGACCATATTTATTTTAATAGTGCAATAGTCCAAACCCCAGGCCCCAGACTAAGATATTGGAGTTTTGAATGAATGGATTTTTTTTAAAGTTGTGGAAATAATGTCACATACTGTATGCGTTAAATTTGACATTTGGGGATTGAAGGTTTGTCTGTGTCAGTCTAAAAATGTAATGTCAAGTTTTCACAGGATTCAAATGAAACGCTGAATGGAAAGTTTCTTAACACGGTTTCATTTTCAAGGGTTGAGAATGAAAATTCTAAGGTTTGTTCTCACATGTCAAGCAAGTAGAGCTGACTTCCGTGTTTACCATATTCAGTGTGGTCTGTGTATGTGCGCTGATCATTAGATATTAAATCTGGTCATCATAAAAATTGTGTCTCTTTAGAAGACTGCTAAACTGCTCAATTCATATGGATTACGTTCATGTTTTAAAGGACTTTTTGAAGCATCAAGGTTTTGGTGGAATGGACTTTCAATGGAGGGACAAAAATTACATTACATAAAAAATATATGTATGTGTGTTTTGAAGATGAACAAAAGTCTTATAGGTTTGGAATGACATCAGAATGAGTAAATTGACA